TAATGCATCTTTTTGTTGTTCAAGTTGGTTTACTTGTTTCCTTACGAGAAATAAAGTTGGTTTACTTGTTTCCTAATGAGAAATAAAATGTCATGTAAGAGTCATCATCATTAAAATCTTGTCCCAATTAATTGGGATCGACTACACAAATCCTATTATGCTATTCTACTCTACCACAACATTTGTAAAAGTAATATAGGATTTTATTAGAAGGGCTTTGATGGATGCTAGGGTTAATTTTTGTAGTATTTTGGAATATCTCTCATATTTTTGTCTCATTCATTTGCTTAATAAAAAGTTTTGATGGATGATAAGATTTATTTTAGTAGTCTAGGAATATGTCTTAAAGCAGTAGCTCTCATGTTCTTTCTCTTGTTCATTTCCTTCTTTTTTTTATGAAGAGAGGGAGGTAACTTGAGTTTTCCAATTGCAGTGAGGATTCATGATGAACAAAGAGATGCAAAGCCATTTTTTAAGCGGAAACCTAGTGACAATTATCTTTATGAATTCAATTTATCTATGTTTTATCATGACATACCAATATCAAATCGTTGGAATAAAGCTCATATAATAATGATGATATCTTGAAGCATGTCCTACCTAAACACAGCTCTCAAATACGAATATGGCAAACAAGAACCAAATTGCAAGGAGCCAATGATGATTATATAATGGGAAATGTATATTATGAGTTCATTTACTTTTAATACGAGGTCACAATTATGATTGACTTTTACGTTTGGATGGTTAAGGATGTGTCATTGTTTAGACATAAAGTTCCAAACAAATTTTTTTGAATATTGTGACACACTTACATCTATTGGATTTCACATCCTATGGCTAAAAATGATCGTCAATAGTGATTTCTCATAGTATACAATCCCTTGTATAAGTTAATATTTAGTTTAATAGTGATTTTTGATAGTTTAATTTTGATTGCGCTGAAAAACTATTATCAACTTTTCACTTACAAAATGTTTAATATATGCTTTAAATTTACCTATCATTTGAATTCATCTGCTTCACAAAAATTATACACCAATCCAAGATTTATCTAATGGGGAAACTTTCTATGTTCCCCCTACAACATAGAAGTTCTATCCTCCCCCTTATCCAACCATCCATGTTTTAATGGAGGACTAAGATTGCTCTAATTACAATGTCACGTCTCTACACTGTTTTATTTTTAATTGTTTTTCTATAAACTGTTTTGACACCAAATTTTGGACGTTCATTCCTCTATTAAACTCGCACTAACAAAAAATATAAGAAAATTATTTTCAATAAAATAAAATGATGGTCATTAATTTTTATTGAAAAATTATATAGTTAATATTTTTTTTAGGTGCACCCCAATGAGAAGATGACATGTACCAAATTTCATATTCAGAAAAATTGTATTAAAAAACTAAAAATAAAATACTTTGAGATGTCGGATCTAAGATCAAAAGGTAAGTGGCTCTCTTGATAAAAAATGGACGGTTGGATGGTAGGGGGAACATAGAAAGCTTTCCCTTTATCTAATTAATTCTTGATAAAACATGAGTAGAAATGCCACCCAATAGGATTTTCCACAAGTAATATCTCCATAACATGTATCGATGGTTTATTTGCTAGATCATGTGCTTTCACTCTACCATAAATATTGAAGCTACATGAGCACAAATGCACTTTAAAACTGAAAGTTTAGCATTTATAACTCATGAATGAAGGCATCTTAGGTGGTAGGCGACTCTAAATAGTTGGAATGAGGCTTGGATGATGATGAATGAACGAAGACACATTAGGCGGGTAGAGAGCAAGACTTGGGTTGTCCTAGGCTGACACACATTTGATGTTTGATTTGGGCATGTTCAGGCCCTATTAATGGGTCAGCCTAAGCCAACTAAAAAACAAGCATTTTCAAATAATTCTATAAAACAAAACGCTAAATGGGCTACGTTGGAACATGATCTTGGTCCAAAGGCCTTCCCTAACCACATGAGCTAGATTTCATGGAGCCCTGGGACCAAAATTAGAGGTCTAGGACTCGGCCACCAAACCCATTGCCATCAGGCCAAAATTAGAGGTCTAGGACTGGGCCACCTAGCCCATGGCCACCTCAAAGGTGCATATAGGCATATATCCATGATTACTTTAAAATGTGATGTCCAATCCTGATGCATAGATGGGGGTTTCATCATTAGAATAAACTTGGATTAAAGAGAAGCTATTTTTATGGAAAAGTCCAAAGCTCCCGTTTCTCGAATGTAAAATCAAGAAACTATCTATGTAAAATTAGGCAGAGGTAATGCCATTAGTGTAGAGATAGAGATAGTTGAGGAGATAGAGATAGTTGAGGATATTTTTTAATATGCTTCCAACGGACTAAAGGTGGAGACCCCTCCATCTAGCACTATTCATGACCCAAATATGATAATGTCCCAAATATCAGATGATATTTGACAGTTGGTACAAAACTATGTATCTACAACTATCTCTATATCTACAATTAGGTATTGCTCAAAGTCTAAGGATCTCTCTCTTGGACTTGGATGGAGAAATGACACCTCCAGCCGTCCGAATTCAATATAATAGCTAAGGATGGCTGTTACCTTTTTATTTTATTTTATAACAAAATAAAAGGATCTTGAACATAATTCCATTATGTAGTTAAAAGTATAAATTGTCCTCGGCCATAGGGCATGCTCAATGGCATACTTCCAGCCACGCAATTGTACATGTGACATTTAAGTTACCTTTGATGTTTTTTATGATCCATTAGAGGAAAACAACCTTTTCCGATGGACTGTTTAGGTGCACCTTAATTTGACATTTAATATTGCAACCTTATATAAACTGTGTGTTTGATGGGCGCGTCAAGATTGAGGACATAACTTAGATAGGAAATTTTGTTCAACTACACAAAAACAAACTCCTACCATCACAAATGAAAATATCAAACATAGCTATTCAAATCCCTCAGCGAATTTGGTCATAGGCAACTTCAACATGAAAACCTTCAAACTACTACTACAACAATGGAAAATTTGTTCTGCCATAGGTTTTTTTAGATGGGGAGGGAAATGTTTTAGTAGGTTAAATGAGTGACATATCATTCCCTATTACTAATAACCACTTTAGGATTTAGAAATTAAAAGAGAATATCTTACTAAAGATTAGAGATAGATATACTGATTTAATTTGAAGATAAAGATAGATAGACAAATGGACTAAAATGGTCTAAATTAGGAGTCAAAAGAGACATTTGTTGCAAGAATAAAAAGAGTCACCTTCTTCTTAGATATCTATAAATGAGTAGAAGTATTGATAAATTAATATTGATCTATCTATTATTTTTAGTGTACCTTTCACAGCAGCTTGACTTGAAATCCTCTTGACATTTAGGGCCAGTTTGGTTCGTGTGAAAATAATTTCTGAGAATATTTCACATAAAAAAATTCGTTTATATGGTTAGGTGTATATTTTTACAACAATTGGCCCCAATGCATATTTTCACATCAATTAGCAGTTAATTAATGTGAAAATATTTCTACACCTTCACGTGAAAATATTTTCTAATAAATATTTTCACATAAACCAAACGTGTTGTTAGTGTTATCTAATTGTATAAAAGTTGTGGTTCATGGGGCAGTCTATAGGCCGGGCTGAAGTGGGCATGAGAGAGGGTTGGGCTCGAAATTTTTACAGCATGTTAAGCCCAGCCTTTGCTTTTCTTGCTAGGCCCTGTCCGATTTTTAAACCATGCCAGGTCTGAGCCCAGCCAGTGGACCAAATATGGCTGCATAAGCCTGGTGCTATTGACAGTCCTAGTAGCACACGTATATTCGATAAGCACTACTCTCTCACAAGCACAACTCTCTCTCAGTAGTTCGGGTGTAATGGGTCAGGTCTGAGTCGACCCCAATTGGGTCCTAACTTTACCTAGACTCGGTTGGTATGAGTTGGATTTTAGATAAAGAAATAACTTTTACTATAATATTTAAATAAGGGTGTGGTTTGTGTAGAGCCTAGGCTCTCAACAATCAAATTAGAGCCTACCATCAAATAGTGTCGAGAAATATGGTTTTAATATTGGAAATCTATTAGCCTTGCAATAGATTTTTATATTTATTTATAGAATTTAAAGCTTCAAAAATAGTGTAGATCGACAGATCTATGAAAACTTGAAAATCTAAAAAATTGACAGTCCAAAAATACGTTACAAAATACACTTTTTCCAAAACTTGAAATCCATTTTTTTCTCATGTCCATGCATCTTGATGTCGAGATGGTCGATTTGAAGTTATTTGGGCATCAAAACAATATCTTCTAGAGAAATTTGTGGGGGTAGGCTCAAATTTGATTGTTTAGAGATTCGGCTCTATAGAAACTTTTCCCTTCAAATAAAAAGTGTGGTTTCTATAAGGTTGCAACCTTAAGCAATCCAATTCAAGCACACCTCCAAATTTTATCTTAACAAGCAATTTTGGTGTAAGATTCTTACGATTATCTCAAAATGTATTTTTATATCTAATTATAAAATTTTAAACTTCAAACTTGGTTAAAATCAAGTAGATTAATAAACATATGAAAGTCCTGAAAATGGATGGTTTAGATAATGTGTTACAAGATGCACTAGTTTTGAGACTCAAAATCATTTTTTTTTCATATTCATACACCTCGATGTTGAGATGATCAATTAGAAGGTTTTTCAACACCAAAACAACCTTTTCTTTAACGTGCATATGTAATCGGTTGCAACCTTATATAAATTTTTTCCTTAAATAAATACTTACATATGCAACAATTGTTTATATATAAATAATATAAAAATATGTGGTGCAGTCTCATCTCAAACGTGTCTGTCCACTACTCACGTGTCTCATCTCTAGACAATAAAGCCAAAGCCAATTGGTCTTCAATTTCAATTCTTGAGCCACGTACGTAGCACAAACTTGTATATATAATTCAGTCTATAGGAACATCCCATGGAACCTCTCTCTTCTCTCTTCTCTCTCATGGCTTTCTCTAACTTAACTTCCACCTTCTTCACCTCTATCCTCCTCCTCCTCTTCCTCTTGTGTACCCTTCCTCCTCACTCTTCTGAGCCAGCTCCCTTGCCAAAGTTGGATGTGGACCTCCTAGAATTCCCTCTAAATCTAGAGTACTTGGAGGCTGAGTTTTTCTTATGGGGATCTTTCGGATATGGCTTGGATAAAGTTGCCCCAAATTTAACCAAGGGAGGGCCCCCTCCAATTGGAGCCACAAAGGCTAACCTTGATCCCCTAACTAGGGATATTATCACTCAGTTTGCTTATCAAGAAGTTGGTCATCTGAGGTACAATTGGGGTTCGGATTTTTTACCTCTTTTGCCATGCATGCCTTCACAACGGCCAATGTTGTCAAATTCGCTAGCTTTTGGATTTAGGTCTAGACCAAAGAGAAACGAAGTTAGGTGGTGCCCCTTTGGACTGTTTTAGGCTGCTTTGGTCAGATTCGAGTCTGCTTCGAGCCGATTAGGCTGAAACAAATAAATATTTATATAAAAATATTTTTTTATTATTTTTTAACTTTTTTATTATTTTTATGTATTTTATATATAAATATCTAATTTAATTTAAATTTTAAAAAAAATTCGGAAGTCTTCCTCTGAATGAGCCGAAACACCAAATTACTTCATTTTTCTCACCAAATCGAAAAAGACTCTAAAGCGAATCTGACCACGGCTCTTGAGTGAGGGAGCATATGGACTCCCTCGGGTGTAAAAGTTCCTTGGGAAAATAAATTTGGACATGAAATTTTGGAATTCACTAAAGAATCATTATTTTTTAAACAAGTAGATTTTGAGTTCAACTCTTAGAAGTCGACCTTAAATAGTTGGGATATAGTTCGACTGATATTATTCGTTATCTTATCTTTGTATAAGTTAGTTTTATTTTATGGGATTGTATATTATGAGACTATTTATTTTTTGTACAAAAAGGTCACAATTTTTTTTAGCTATTGGATGTGAAATCTAACATATTAAAATGTATCACAGTGCTTTCGAGAAAACAAATTTCGAACTTTGTACTCAATTAGTGGCACATCATTACCCATCCGATTTCACATCCAACGTTTGACAATAATTGTGACCTTCCTGTATAAAAAATAAATGGTCTCCTCATATACATTTCCTATTTTTATTTCTTTGTTTGATTTCTTCTCCACTGAAATTTGAGTGCAGGGCGATTCAAAAGAGTGTTCCTGGATTTCCAAGGCCTTTATTGGACTTGAGCTCAGAAAATTTTGCAAAGGTGATGAACTCTGCATTTGGTCACAAACTTGAGCCGCCCTTTGATCCATATGCCAACACCCTCAATTATCTTTTGGCTTCATATGTGGTCCCTTATGTTGGTCTCACTGGTTATGTGGGTGCTAATCCACACCTCACAGCCCCTGACTCTAGACGGGTAAGGGACACCTTCACTAGTCTTCATTTTCCTTATTTTCTTTTATGTTTTTCCCTTTTGCGCTTGTAAAGCCATGCTCCGGCAGGAGCATACATGAAACACTGAGTCCCTTGGGCAAAAGAACAAAAGGGATTTTTTTTACAAAATGAGTGGCTTGGAAAATAAATAGATTTTGAGTTTTCAAACATTTAGATTTAGCTATTAAAAAATCGGACATTTTTAGTTCAGTCTTAGGATTTTTTCTTTTAGGGTGAGGAATCCACCTTCCTGACCACCGATGCCCCAACCCCATTCCCTGTGACGCCTACTTATTCCGTGCAACTTTTATTTAAAGAATTTTTTCTCGAACCCTAAATATTCGAACATCCAAAAAGAGGCCTAAGAACATAGAGCAATGATTTCATGCACACCTTATATAGTAATATGATGCAACAACCTTAAAAAATGGTGAGAATTGGAACTAATTTAAAGTTGGTGGTGATTATGTAGTTGGTAGCTGGATTGTTGGGGGTGGAATCCGGACAGGATGCGATTATCCGAACAATACTATATGAGCAAGCAAACAAGAAGGTAGACCCATACCCGCACACAATATCAGAATTCACAAACAACATCTCTCAATTGAGGAATAGATTGGGAGGCATTGGCATCAAAGATGAAGGGATCACTGTTCCTCCTACATTGGGTTCAGAGAGGAAGATCTCAGGGAATTTGCTAGCTAGTGACCAATTTTCTCTGTCATTTGACCGTACACCACAAGAAATTCTTAGGATTGTGTATAGTAGTGGGAATGAGAAATCCCCAGGTGGGTTTTTCCCTAAAGGAGCTGATGGTAAGATTGCAAGAAGTTATTTGCATAGTACTTGAGAATCCCTCATCCCCAAAAGTATAGAAAGGGGATTCCTGTTCTCGGTTGAATCCATGGAAATCCGGTTATCAAACAAACATGGAATTTGAGATATCCTCATTGTCAAACGTACACTTAATGAGTCTTTTTGTTGTTCAAGTTGGTTTATTTGTCTTCTTACGAGAAATAAAATGTGAGAGTCTTCATTATCAAAGTAATTAGGATTAGCTACACGAATCATGTTTTGACATTCTCCTCTACCAAATATCGTACTTATTGTAAAAGGACCATACATGTTGTAAGAATAATATAGGATTTTATTAGAAAGGCTTTGATTGATGCTAGGGTTTCTTTTAGTAGTATCTAGGAATATGTACTAAAATAGCTCTCATGTTTTTGTCTTTTACTTCTTTTTTTATGAAGAGAGGGATGTGACTTGAGTTTTCCAAATGCTGTGAGGATTCATGATGAACAAAGAAATGCGCAAGGCGATTTTTTAAGCGGAAACTTGACAATTATCTTTGTAATTTAATTTATTTATGTTTTATCATGATAGATCGACCTCAAATAGTTGGGATATGGTTCAAATAACAATAATGATATCTTACCGTGATAAGTCTTGATTCCAATAATAGCCGTGTAAGTTCAATTTTGATGATAATTGAAGACTATTATTGTGATAAAAAAATGTCCTCATAATATAATATAATGTAGGTAGTCCTAAAGAAAAATTATCCATTTGAAGCATGACCTACCTAAAAACAGCTCTCAATATGGAAAACATGAAGCAAATTGCAAGGAGCCGATAATGATAATATAAGGGAAAATTGTTTCATGTTGTAGGGACTGTATATCTACATTTGCAGTCTCCGAGGTATAAAGCATCCATGTTAACGATGGATGCAAATAGGTGGTCCATCTAAAAACAATTGAAATTAACGGTCCAAATATTTTTTTTCATAGAATTATTATTTCTATTTTTTAAAATTTATTTATTTATTTAATATTCATGTTAGAGATTACATGTCCTTAAAACTTAAGTCCAAAAATCCATCTAAAAAATATATTTTGAAGAGGTGACTCATTTCTACATGGACTCATAAAAACCGTGTCCTTTAAGTTAAAAATTGATACCAAGTTGAATAGTGGCTTTTGATAGTTTAATTTTGAATGCATTGAAAAACTATTAACTTTCCACTTACAAAATGTACATATTCTTTAAAATTACATATCATTTGAATTCATATACTTCATAGAAACTTATACACCGATTCTAGCTCTCTCATGTACCGATGGTTGATTAGCTAGATCATGTGCTCTCACTCTACCACAAATATTGAAGGTTAAACGAGCATAAATGCACTTTAAAACTTAAAGTTTAGGATTTATCAATCATGGATGAAGGCATATTTGGGTGCAAACAACCCTAAATAGTTGGGATGATGCTTAGATGATAATGAATAAATGAACACATGTTAGGGTAGCAGAAGGCTGGACCTGGTTTGTCCCAGGCTGACACACACTTGCTGTCTAATTTGGGCATGATCTGGCCTTGTTAATGTGTCGGACCAAGCCAACTAAAAATCCAAGCATTTTAAAATAATTGAATAAAACAAAAAGCTAAATGGGCTGGGTTAGGCCATGATCCATGTCCCTGGCTTTCCCTGGTCAGTCACACGAGCTAGATTTCATGGAGCTTTGGGCCAATCCTAACGCATAGATGATCATTAGATTAAACTTGGATTAAAGAGAAGTTATTTTCATGGAAAAGCCCACACTTGCCCGAATCTCAAATGTAAAATCAGCGGACTATCTAATGTAAAATTAGGCAGTTGGAAGTATGCCATTAGGCATTGCTCAAACTCCAACAAGCTCTCTTTTGGACTTGTATGGAGAAAGGATACGTCCAGCCGTATGAATTCATATATGACAGTTACAGATGATTTTGACCTTTCTATAACAAAATAAAATAATCTTGTACTAGACCTTTCTATAACAAAATAAAATAATCTTGTAATATATATTCATGTTTTTTTGGTTAAAGGTGTAAAATTTTCTCGGACATTAGGCATGCTCAATGGCACACTTCCAGGTATTTATTCAAAGTTGGAACCAAAATTTTGAAAATAATTGTCAAGATTTGGCTATAAAATTACTCAAAAAAAGAAAATAAAGCCCTAAAAAGTACCATCCTTAGTTAGCTTTCATTAATGTGGCCCAAAAAATTGATTAGGATATAATCCGCATTGATTATTTAAAGAAGGGTGCGGTTTCTACAAAGTTGCAACCTTAAACAATCCAATTAAGGCTCACCTTAAAATTTTATTATAACATGTAATTTTGTTGTAAAAAATAACTAGTATTATCTTAAAATCTATTTTCATACCTAATTAGAAAATTTTAAATTCCAAAAATGGTTAAAATCAAGTATATCTATAAATATATGAAAATCTTGAAAATGGACGGTCAAGATAATGTGTTGCAAGATATCAAAAGCTTTTTTTTTCATATTCATGCATCTCGATGTCGAGATGATCGATTATAGGGTTTTTTCAACAATAAAACAACATTTCTAGTAGATTTTTGAGGTGCATATGTTATTCTACATTTTAAGGTTGCAACCTTATATAAACTTTTCCCTTTAAAGAATTACCTATCATTAATATGATCCAAAAACTGGTTAGAACATAATCCGCAGTGAAGATTTAAAGCGAGACCAGGAAAGCCATACAAGCATTAAATCTTTTCTCCAGACATTGATGCAACATATTTGAAAAAATGCACTAATTTCCATTCTATCAGCTAGAAAAATGAGGGCCCACCTTTCCCTCAGCCTTCCTCCCACTTATTAGACCCCCGGCCCTTCAAAAAAAAAAAAATGAAAAGAAGGTGAAAAACACCATGACCATTGGATTATTTGAGAACTCATAGGCCAAACTTCCTGCATATCAACTGGCACCTGCACTTTTTAAGAACTCATGATCCTGAAGTGTCTTGGATCGTACATGGCCTATTAATCAACCCAATGTTACGTAAGTAACGAGCAATGTTCCCTCCGGCCCCCGAAGGGAAGAAGCCGCCGGGCCTGCTCTCATTTCCTGTTCCATAAAGGATCCGTAGAATCTCTTGAGGTGATCGATCGAATGATAAGAAGTTAGAATCACCATTAAGAATATTTCCCGGTGTTAATCCTCCATTTCGGTTCGGAGGGAATACAAACAGGCCAGCTTCTTTGATGCCATTGTGACCCAAGCTGTTCGCAAGGTTAGAGATCCTGTTCGTGAAATCGGCGACTGTGTATTGATAGGGCCAAACTCTCAACAAGGACTTCGGGTATAGTAGAGCCCGGATAATTGAATCTTGGCCTGATTCTATCCCCAAAAGTCCCGCAAGTAGCTGAAATATGAGCCATTTTTACTGATTGAGAGTGACCTCTTGACCAATCCCAATATCCTTCTCTCACTTTTCCTTTTTAAGAAATAAATTGGAAAATTTGCCATCAATATTCCAGTTAAAATAGGAGATAAATATAAAATTATCTGATAAATAAAGGTACGAGCCTAGTAGGCAGTTCAAAATTGATTGAACCTATGGGCTCTAATACCATTTTTCTTTTTTTCTATCTTTCTTTCTTTTTTTTTGTTTTTTTGCCTGTGCTTTGTTAGGCGTGGGGTTTTTTGTGCTTTGTTAGGCTTGGGGTTTTGTACCAAAACCATGCCCATTGTATTAATCTCAAAGAATACGTACATTGCATTCAAGACTATAAACTCTTAGGATTTATAGTGCAAATGTGAGTATGAGTGTCAAAATACTTAACTCTAATTTAAGAAAGCGTGTGGTTTTCAACCTTAGACAATCCAATTAAGGTGCATCTTCAAATTTTATTGTAACATATAATTTTAGTGTAAAAAATAATTAGAATTATTTGAAAACCGATTTTTAGATCTATTTATAAAGTTTTAAACTAAAAAATGGCTAAAATCAAGTAGATCAAAATCTTGAAAATGGATGGTCTAGATAATGTGTTGCAAGATGGCCCTATTTTCAGGACTCAAAATCTTTTTTTTCTTCTATATTCATACATCTAGATGTCGAGATGATCAATTGCAGGGTTTTTCAACATTAAAACAGCCTTTTTCTATAGATTTTTTAAGCGCATATGTAATTCTATAGGTTTAAGGTTACAACCTAATATAAACTTTTTCCTTCAAAAATTTCTACGATACGCAACTTATTTGAATTTCATTTACATTTCGACTTTATTAAGGAAAAGAATATTCTCTCTCTTTTATGTCATGGTTTTTTTTGCTCACTGTGCATAGGGCTCCTAATGGGATGGGCCAACTCCCGCCCGAGTTCCTATACATGTAGACCGGCCTGAAGGGGCCCATGTCCAGGCCTGGTCTAACCGGGCACGAGCTAGATCGTCATGGCAGTGTTCGACAAATCCATGAGGACTTGAAAACGGGCCAATGGTCGGGTCCGAATTACAGATAAACTGGCCTGTTCACTCGTCTTAACTGGGGAGGTCCTGGCCGGTCTCAAAATTATTAATAAAAATACAAAAACATCCAAAAAAAATATTTAAAAACTTATTTAAAGCATAATTAAATAAAGCACAACCAAATGAAGTTGAAAAGTAGTGAAAAAATATATTTTTAAAAAAAATTGAGTTGTGCTTAGGGATATTTTAGAAATAATATAAAAGCGAAAAAAAATGTAAAAATAATTATTCATGGCCAAAACACTACCTAATCTTTCCCAAAATTATAAAAAACATAAAAAAACAAGACATTACAAATAAATCCCTTATTTTTTAGGGTTTTATTTTTTTAATATTTTTTTAACTTCTTTCTTAAAATACCCGGGACAACCTAAACCGGCCAAAATGGGATCTATCACTGCCCAGTTCCGGTTTAACCGGCCTGTTTCGAATAGAATGGCCAACTTTCTTAATACTGCTCATAATAAACTGAAAAATAATAATAATAATAATGAAATAAAGTGGTCGGGCTGGCCCTCCCATAGCTTTAGCCCGAGAATGGCCCAACATGGACCTTGGTAAGCTCGCTCTGGCTCAACCCTCAGTCCACGTTTTATGTGCCAGACCCTAGGTTTTCGGGGCTAGCCTGGGTCCCACCTGATCTATTGCCCGCCCTAGCTACGCATTAATGCTGGATATAGCTTCAAAAAGCATGCGCTACAAATATGTTACTCCCCTCTCCCTCCCTCCCTTCCCCTCTCTCTCTCTCTGCCTTTCGCTCTCTCTCTCTGTGCCTTTCTCTCTCTCTCTTATACTTTATTTTCAAAAAATAATAAAATGTGGAAGTGGGTTAATTATTTTGAACTTACTCTGGCAACTGTGGTGGTTTTGGAGGTGTTAATGTAGTTGAAATCAGCAACATAGCCAGTGAGGCCAACAATGGGGAGCATATAGGCAGAGAGGAGGAAGTTGAGTTCATCAATGTAGGGATCAAAGGGGGGAATGAGTGGTACTCCCATGGCCCTTTCCATGAGTGTCGCAAAGTGGCTGCTGCTCAGATCCATTGGAGGCCTTGGAATACCACCACCTGTTATGTTTTGTATGGCCCTGACCCATACATTACATGATCAAAATTAACATAAAAACACCATTAAGACAGAGGAGAGGTAATCAATACAATGCCAGTACCACCTCATAAATAGATAGCTCTCTCCCACCCACACATGAAAAAAAAAAGGATATATAAATAGAGTAATGATCGTATGAGACCCTCTCATACCCAAATGTGTAGGATCTCAAAAGATCACCATTAAATTTGGTACAGATCTCTAGAAAAATTATCACATGAATGTGAGACTTGATTTTTTTTTTAAATATATATCAAATTTAAAGGTGATCTTTTAAAATCCTACACACATAGATGTAGTAGAATCGCATATTACTCGTAAGTGGATTGAACTGCTTCTGAGTGGGGGTAGCAATGGACCCGGACTTGACCTGGGTCTGGGTATAGGTCTAAAAATTAGACCTGGCAGGTCGGGTTTGGGTCCAAATATTGGACCCAAACACTATTTATGTCCGGATCCAATAATTTCGGGTTCAAGTCCAGGGTCATCAGACCCAAATCCGACCCGTTGCCACCCCTACTTTCGAGGAGCGGACAACTTTTATATTATAGGGAGAGAGATGCAAAAACCTCAAGTGGCCAAGCTCTTGGTATCCAAACTGGATCATGATGTCTCTAGTTATGGGACTGAGGTTGGCTTTCTTCACACCTGTGGGGGCCACCCCACCATTAGCTAAAGCTGGAGAAATTGCATCTATGCCATATCCCAGTGCACCATAGAGAAAGAACTCAGCTTCCAAGAACTCCAAATTTAGGGAAAATTCTAAGAGATCTTGCTCACATGAATTCATTGTAGAGAGAGAATGTGTGGTCAGAGCCAAGCATAGAAGGAAGAGGAAAGAGAAACATGAGGCAACCAAGGCCATGTTAGAGAGAGAATGACACTGCTTGGATTAATTTGAGGTCCTAAGCCTGAGAAATGATAATGCTTGGATTGAATATATAGTAGCATTTGCGATGAAATAGCAAAGAGGCAAGAAATGTGTAGGAATGCCTCTTTGGGGTGAGTTAGAGAGGGAATGATAGTCATCTTTGCATGGATAGCGAGGTTTTAGAGTTAGAGGATTCCATGCAAGAACCATGGCATTCCTCTAAATTCGCTAGCTTCCCCAAGTTTTACTAAGCCAGACATTAGTAGGGGCGGCAACGGGTCCGGTCGGCCTAAACCAGATGTGGACTCGAAAATATAGTGTGGGACCAGGATCCGATCTAAGAATTAAATATCTATTCATTGAAGACTATATTTAATATATTTGGGCCCAAAATATATTACGGGACCAGAATCCTATTGGACGCAATAGTGTCCGGATCCACGATTTGGACTCGGATCCGACCCGCCAAGTCCAATTTTTAGACCTATACCCAAACCCAGATCGCGTCTACTCCTCGGGTACTCCAGGTCGGTTCTGGGTCCATTGCCACGCCGCCCCTAGAAATTAGATCACTAATTCTTATATAGGGATTAAACCATGTTATAAGGACCAAACTAATGTTTGATGTTTATTGAATAATTTGCTCTTCATTTAGGAGCAACAAATTAATAGTAGACACATCTCTCCCGCTCTCTCTGCCGCTAAATTGACTTCATAAAAAAGAATTTTGTTGTTCTAACTTCAAATATTCCTTGACAAAGTCACCTAGCACAAACCTTGGGTTTTTTTTAAAAATATATATATAAGATAAGCATGGAACTCAATATATCATGTTGTGGTATCTCGTCACCGTAATAATTAGGCGCTAGTTTCCTATAAAACAAAACAATGATGCATAAATTATCTTAGTAAAAAAGTTCCAAAGTTATGGGTTGGATTTCATTTTTTATTAGGAATTTGCAAGCCTTTATGCAAAGCGGCCGGGCCGTAGCTTTGTGAAATCTAGTGAAACCGCAACTCAGAAACCCACCATAAGATGTTGTTTCTCCCCAGTGGAATGTGAAATTTTAAAAAAGAAATGGTGCAGTTGATCAATGAAGATTTGAAATATAAACGATCAAAAAAAAAAAATTTACAAGAAATATCATTTTTAGGGTTTGAAATCTTTTTTTTTTTTCATTCAGATAAATGATAGTCCAGGTGGACATGATTGATTTCAGATTTTATGGTGCCAAAACTACATTTTCTAACACAAATATTTTCCAACAAAGTTCTTGGTGTGGTTGATGCAGTTGAAGCCTTAAGGAATTACTTTTTTTTATATTTTTTATACAATTTCTATAAGACCTAAGCCTTAAGGAATTACTTTTTTTTATATATTTTTTATACAATTTCTATAAGACCTGAGCTTTGTGAAGATAAAATAAGGCCTCACTTTGAATCCTCATATGGAAAGCACTTTGGGCATCTGAAATATCCATGGTAGCTAGAAAATCAATTTCTACCACCTATTGTGAAATCTGAAGCTCAAAAAACAGTAAAAATCTTGTGGATATGTGAACAATAATTTTTTAAGCAAATCGGATACTAGATAATGTAGTACAATAAACATTATTTTTAGGGTTTGAAATCCTATTTATTTTCACAATCATAATGGTGAAGGTCAGAGTGATCGATTTGAAGATTTTTTAACATCAGAACTGCTATTTTAGGTGAGTTTTGGGATGACGCTTTACTTATTTTGATAGAGCTACAGCACTATCAAAATATTTTCTTTCTTTTCATAGTTCAGTAAAATATGCACTCCAAATTTGAACTTGAGACCTCTCCAAAGAAAGTTGACAAGCTCTGCCGCTACATAATTCCTCATGTGCATAATCCAACTGTTCAAGATGGGAAAGTATTTTGTAGGGTTTCATCACCTCAAATTTCAGCAGAAAATGTAATGATTTTCCTGGCAAGCCTTCAAATTCATCTCACAATCATCGATCATAAAATTATGGGGAAAAAAACGAATTTTAAACAATAGAGTGTGTAACGGTTTTTTTTTTTGGAGCCGTCCATTTCAAGTATTGACATATCTGCTAGATTTAACATTTGTTAGGGGACGTCCATTTCAAGCGATGATAGGATTGTTTACGAAGGGACCATTTATCGTTGGATGCGGTTTGTATAGAGCTAGGCACTAAACAATCAAATTGAGCCTACCTTCAGATAGTGTTGAGAAATATAGTTTCAATACTGGAAATCTTTGTGATAGCCGTAAAATATATTTTCATATTTCTTTATAAAGTTTAAAGCTTCAAAAATAGTGTAGATCGATAGATCTATGAAAACTTGAAAATCTTGAAAATTGACGATCCAAAAATGCGTTACAAAATACACTATTTCTAAAATTAGAAATCAATTTCTTTTCTCACGTTCACGCATCTTGATGTCGAGATGATCAATTTGAAGATATTTAGGCATCAAAATAACCTCTTCTAGTGAAACTTTTTTGGTAGGCTCAAATTTGATAGTTTAAAGCCTGAACTCTATATAAACTTTGCTTTTTATCTTTTTTATATGAAAGTAACATTCATTTTTGCTCTTTAAATTTCAAAATGGGTGATTGTAAGAGTGTCATTGAATAGATACAAACTTCCAAAAAAATTTCTCGGACCTTGTGACTCATCCCAAGCCATCCAATTTGATATCTAATGAGTAGGAATGATTGTGAACTCCATGTACAAAAGATAAATGGTCTCTTGGTAGACAATCCCACTCTAAGCGATCCGTACGGTATTCACTATTGGAAAAACTGGACTATCTAACCGCTAAACGCCTGATTAAATCGGATTTTGGGTGGTTTTGGTGATTAACCGATATTTTAAAAAAAAAAAATCAAAAAAATGAATATAAATTCTCAAAAATAAAGAATTTGGTTTGTAATGCATTTTTTAATATTCTTTACATTATGGTAAAGGTTGAAAATTGTTTTGATCATTAATACTCATTTTAATTCAAAAAGCGATTCATTAAAATCTATTTTTCAATAATTTTCAACTTCAGTTGAATGTGTTTTGTTTTAATCATTGTTATATGTTTTTCATATTTTAGTAGATTTGTTTTGTATATTTTTAAATTTTTCAACATTTTTTGACCGTCCAAGACTTACCCAATTAGAACAACTGAATCGGCCGGTTAAATCGCTTCCGGGCCCATGTCCAGTTAATCATTCCGATTCGATTTTACGAACACTGATGGTTCTTATATTGGGTGAAATAGCATATCCAAGCAAGGTTCAATAACGGGAATAATAGAACCGATGGGCCGGTCTTTATTTCTTTTTATAACGGTATCATCCGTTGTATTAGAAAAATAATGTGTTACCAAGAGAACAAAAAAACTCAAGTTAGGAAATGCGGGACAACAAATAAAAAAAAAAAAAAACCACATAGACATAGTCAATTTGCCTATGGTATAAGCAATTAATTTACATTTAGTACAAGAGGATCATTATCACCAAGAAGGTCATTATCACCTTTAACGGTGTATTTCAATGTTTGAGAAATATTCTTTTTAACTTCTACCTAGTCAATGGCACAAGGTCAGCAATCCAATTTCAAATCTAATGAACATTAGTAATTGTCACCTCTGTCTACGAAATTCCTGTTGGAGTCTAACGAAGGATGGTTACATCGAAGGATCTAAAGAACAATGGTGAGTGTCATACAAAAATTTTGGTTGTAGTCCAATGAATTATAATTTTTTTACAAACATGAACCTCATCTAGGCGCTCTAAATAAATATGAAAAAATGGATACTGGAATATTATTCTGCAAAATGGGTCCATCAGTTTAGAACATATAAGTCACCTCCTCCCCTTCAATCCGTGGCTTTAACTCTATGCTACCGTATAAGCTTTCCGGCATTTGTACTCTCTATCCATAAACAAGGTGTGTATCCAGGCTTGGACCTAGTCCGAACCAAACCGAGTCCAGGTCGACCCCTTGTAGCCTAACTTGTGCATGTGATGTACATGACGCTTAAGTGAACCAATGGCCGACCGCTAATTGGAGGTCTTTAAACAAATAATGGCGATTGGTGAAGTAGCTGGAACTATATCCTACCTGTTATGTTAGAATCAAAGATGAAGAATCATTATTATCATCATCATCAGAACCTTTTCTCAACTATCATTGTAGAAATTTTAAACATTGATACTGCAAGTAACTAATATAATACATATTATTACAAAGAAGCCATCAAAGATGTAGATGAATTAGCCAAGGGAGGAGCAACACGCCTACATGACTATCACTAGATTTTATTTTCCTATATAATACGTACATTGAATACTTCCCTAAATTTGTAAAGCATTTTTAATGGAAAGGTAAACATTTTAAAAAAAAGCTGTGGTTCGTATAGAGCCAAAGCACTAAACAATCAAAATAAACTTTCAAATAGTGTTGAGAAATATAGTTTCAGTACTGAAAATTTTTATGATAGCCTTAAAATATATTTTCATCTCTAATTATAAAATTTCAAACTTAAAAAATAGTGTAGATCAAGCAGATCTATGAAAACTTGAGAATCTTGAAAATTGACGGTCCAAAAATGTATCACAAGATGCACTATTTCCAAAACTTAAGAAATCTAAATTTTTTTCTCATGTCCATGCATCTTGATGTCGAGATGATCAATTTGAAGATATTTGAGCTTCAAAACAATCTCTTCTTGTAAATTTTTTGTGATATGCTCTAAAAGGAACAAAATAAGATCAAAAGTTAAAAATATGATTTTGTGATTAAATATCTATATACATGACTTAATCGAGAATTCCTTCAAATGGGCTAGCAAAGTCCATAGGCATTGTGATCTTCAACTACTATTGTTTCTTTTTATGGAAACCTTTTTGGGAAATTTACCAAATCACCCTTTAGTGATACACTATTACTATTAATATTTTATCTTTTGCAACTATTCCATGCGTCTTTGATGGTATTTTGAAACTATCAAAAGATATTGGTAAAAAGTTAAATA